AGAGGGTAGAGTGGGAACTGGTTGGAGGGAAGCTATGGGGACGGGGGGAATAGGAACAGCTGTAATAATCTGAACAATAAAGATTTATTTAAAAAAAGAAAATGAATGCCAAAACTGGTTTGGCTCAGTGGATAGAGCGTCAGCCTGCGGACTGAAAGGTCCCGGGTTCGATTCCAGTCAAGGGCATGTACCTTGGTTGTGGGCACATCCCCAGTGGGGGGTGTGCAGGAGGCAGCTGGTCGATGTCTCTCTCTCATCGATGTTTCTGACTCTCTATCCTTCTCTCTTCCTCTCTGTAAAAAATCAATAAAATACATATTTAAAAAAAAAGTAATGAAAAGAAACAAATAAGATTAACAATTACAATAGATAACTTACCACAATATATCTAAAACATTTTAATGTCTGTGTAACCAATATAACCATTTATTAATAAGATAAACTTTTTTTCATATTATGTCTTCAAATCTCAATCAGTAGTTCTTGGAGAATGCAGTTTCAGAGGACATCACTTACTGGAGAAAGGACGATTGATTAGTGATGTCTGCTATGAGCATGGACATGTCTGGGAGCTGGGTAAAGTTGCAGGCCATGTGCTTGCCCCTCTGTTATAAGCCTGATCCCAAGCATGTGTTTTCTTCCTCCAGCTACCCTCTCCTGGGTATCAGGAGAGTCTCTACAGCCCTTTTGAGCCCATTCATTTTGCCCAATGTGAAAAAATTGCCAGTCTGCCTTCTGGGACTTGAATGAGTTCTGGCATGGGCACCATCCTCCAGAAAGTCACCACCACACTAAGAGGGCAAGTGCCTCCTGGGTGCGGTCCCATGTTCCTTTCTTCACTCTGGGAATGTGGGTTTCATTTTGTTTTTGTTTTTTCCCCAAGGCCTTTTTCACAATGTTAACCAATACCAACATAAAAGTGTTTCCTGAGCCTAAGTTAGCCATTCCAGCCCCATTTCATCAACCCACATCTGCAAACCTCCTGGCCAGAACCCTTACTGGAATGGCCCAACCCAGATTCTCCATTTGCTTTTCCAGACAATGAGGCTAAAATTGGACTGTGTAGGCAACCAGAAAGACTTGGAATTGGGGAGGGGTGAGCTTGCAGTGAGGCAGGAAGGGATGAGGTGTGAGAAAAATTGAATCCCAGGCCCCCATCATCCATATTAGCATTGTCATCATCATCCACCCACCCTCTGCTCAAAACTCGTTAATTGCTCCCTTTAAATGGCAGGATAAAGATCTAGGGCCTTAGCTCCCAAGAGCTGGAACAAACTTATTCAATCTCACTCCCAGATACTCTTCCCTCTTTCATCTTATTCATTCATTCAATAAGAATGTATTCCAGCCAAAACCAATTTGGCTCAGTGGATAGAGCGTCAGCCTGCAGACTGAAGGGTCCCGTGTTCGATTCCGGTCAAGGGCGCGTACCTTGGTTGCAGGCACATCCCCAGTGGGGTTGTGTGCAAGACGCAGCTGATCGATGATTCTCTTCCATCGATGTTTCTAACTCTCTATCCCTCTCTCTCTTTCTCTCCATAAAAAATCAATAAAATATATTTAAAAAAAAAAAAAGAAAAGAAAAGAAAAAAAAAAAAGAAAGAAAGAATGTATTCCAGATGATACCAAACTCAGGTTCGGCTACCTACAGCTTTAAAAGCCAATACTTGAGACACCGGTGCTTATGTACGGAAAGATAGTTTATTCAAATGCTGGCAGCCTGAGAAGATGGCAGACTCCTGTCCTAAAGATCTTCAACCCTGGCAGGTGTGCTCAATGGTTAGAGCACACCAAAGGGTCTGTGGTTTGATTTTTGGTCAAAGGCACATACTGGGAAAAGGAGCATGCAGGAGGCAACCAATTGATGTCTATCTCTCACATTGATGACTCTCTCTCTCTCTCTCTCTTCCTCTCTTCTTCCCTTCCTCCCTCCCTTCAACTTTCTCTTTATATATAGTAAAAAATATCCCTGGGTGAGGATTAACAACGAAAAAAAAGACCATCTTCACATTTCAGTGCAGATGGAGGTTTTTATTTGGAGATAGGGAAAGCAGAACAAAAAAATCAGGGGAGAAGGGAGTTGAACATTTTTTATGTGTAAGTCAGCACAGTCCATTCTGATGATTACCTCGAAATTGGTCCAGTTTTTATCAACAAGTCTCCTAGAGCCAGAACATCCAGATACTGGAGTCAGCTTCCTTTGAACTCTTACACAAATATGCTGTTTATTTATGGGTTACATATTAGTTAACAACTCACCTTTTACAAAAACACTTTCTACAGAAACAAAATTAAAAGAATGGAGGGGTGGGCTATATGGGCACTATTCTCAGTGATAGCGTTGCAGCTGTGACCAAACTGAGAAGTCTCTCTGCCTTCTTGGAGCTCATATTACTCCAGCCAAGCCCATAACGCTCCAAGCCCTTGCACACTCCCAGGCCTTGGCAAAGGCTGTTCCCTCTTCTCTTCTTTAGTGACTTCCCCACCTAGGGGACTCAGCCCCTAACGCCCACCTTGCCCTGATCTGCCCATGGGTTGGGTACCACCTGGGATCATCACACAGATGATCATCATCCAGCTCCACATACATATCTGCCTCCCCTACCAGGCTGTGAGGGTCTTGAGGGAAGGGGCTGTACCCCAGGACCTGATTCTAGATGCACCGGCCATAAGGCTCCATTCCCTAACCCCAACTCAGGACTGTGCAGGAGAGGCATGGGGGGTCCAGGATGCCTCTGAAGAATGCCCTCTGCCTGGGATCATCCTACTCCTGGCACCCCAGGGGAAAGCCTCACAGGAGCAATGGCACAGAGTGCTTCCAGCATAGGCGGTGGAGGACTGAGGGAAGACGGGACGGAGAAGACAGGGGATGCACAGAGCTATGACAGACATCAGATCTGCACATGGAAGGGGATGTTAACAGCTTTCAATGGCAGGAAGAGCAGGCACTGGCCTTCCCCCAAGAGAAATAGGTTGGCAAGACATGGACCTACTCGAGGTAAGCCTTAGTGGCCCTTGAGATTTATGAAGTAAGGGAGACAGTTTCCCATTCCCTCTGGCTTGCTCAGGAAAACTGAGCTTTGGTTTTTCAGTCCTGCTCCCTCTTCTGCATCTCCACTTCTCCCTGATTTGGGGGGAAGGGGGGCTGTAGAAGATGCACAAGACCGAGTGCAGAAGGCTGGGCCTGTGTCCTGGCCCTAGCCTGGCCCCTAAGAACCCAATATTGTTGCCATACTGTGTGGATCTCTGTGCCCCCAATCCCAGCCTAATGGCCTGGCACCCACTGTGCCCCAGGTCCACTGGGGTGCTTGTGTGTCATGCAAAAGCCAGAGGGAGGAAGGTTTGTGCTTGGCCACTTCGCTGGCTCATTCACATGGATTTATAAGGACTCATTCCATGCCTTCAAGCACTTGGCTTCCTGGCCCCCTTTCCTCGACCCTGCTAGCGGTTCTCAACCTGTGGGTTGAACTGCTGCTGTAGAGCCTAAGACCATCAGAAAACAGATATTAACATTACATACAATTCATAACAGTAGCAAAATTACAGTTATGAAGTAGCAACGAAAATAATTTTATGGTTGGGGGTCACCACAACATGAGGAGCATTAGAAAGGTTGAGAACCACTCGTTTAGAGACTCGCTTGGGGGTGGGGAGAGCACAGGAAGCCCCTGTGCTGCTGTTGCATGGCTGAGCTGGGAAAACAGAGAGAAGAGACCAAGATAGAGACTCTGAATTCCTTCCAAGACAAAGTAAATTGGTCTTACAACCCAGAACAGTGTGTCAGAGGGGCCCCAGAAGCCCTGGTCCTGCCCTTACCTCTTACATAAGGAGAATGAGGCTTAGGAAAGGCAACGTCTGCCTGGGATCATGAAAGGTGACAGCAGCCCAGAGTCTCTGGTCCCTCAAACTCCTGGACTCCTGGCTCCAGCACCTGCTGCCATCTTGGGTGTGTGAGAGGAAAGAGCCAGGCTGGCCCAGATCACAGGGCAGTGCAGTAGGTGGGGGCAATTCCAGCCCCGTGGGGTCTGTCAGAGCCGCCTGGAAGCTGGGCTCAGACTCAGAGAGAGCTGTCTCAAGTTCCACACACCCCGCCCAGTTACTGCTCAGGAAAACTCCCAGCAAAGCCCAAAAGGCACAGTCCCTGCCACAAGAGTTAGGTGAGAAGGGAATGAAGGGGAGTTGAGATAAAAATGGAAGGAGGCCCCTGAAGGACATCCAGGTTTCTCTTCGAATCTCCCACTCACCTACCCCTCATCCCTGGACCTGCCCACTCATACCCCTGGACAGCTTCCCCACCTCTCACCCCAACTTCAGGGGCCATTTTTCACACATCCTTCTGGGTTCTAAAATCTATTTGCTTTACCTTTGAGAGAATTCAAGAGCATCTATGTTTCAAATCTCACCCCAGCCCTGTCACTGCCTTGGGGTTGAAAGGTCAAGCTCCAGGCTAGCACACAATCCCTGTCTACTATCCTTCTTTCCCCTCTGCATGCAGACCAACACCTACCCTGCCTGTTGGGCAGAGCCTGGAGTACCTCACCGCTTAGACACACCCTACAGCTGCCCTCTAGCCTTCTATCATCACAAGTTATCCCATGGGCTCTAGCTTACTCCCTAGAATGGGAACCTAGAAGGCAGGGAGGCCTGAGGCTGTTTCGCATGGCCAGGAAAGGCCAGGCCTGCCTGACAAGTATGGGAGGGAGGTTGGGAAGGGGGAAAGGTGAGAGGAGGTGGAGTGCAGGAGTTGTCTGGGCTCCAGGGTCAATGGCTTGGCAGGCAGTGCACTGCTCAGGAGCATTGGATTCAGATCCTGCTCCTGCCTCTCACTAGCTAGAAGCCCTGCTGAGGGTGTCCTTCCCTCCAAGGTTCTACAGAGAGCACTAGTGGGGGGTTGGGGTGATGATCACACAGGCAGGAGGTGGAGTTACAAACAAGAGCCCTCACCCTCACCCTTACCCCCCACCACCAGAATGACTTTGAAGGGAAGGAGCAGGCACAGGTAAATAAATAGCTTGTTTATTAGTAATATGTTACATCGTTAAAGTGCATTGAAAAGAGATGCAGTGACCAAAGCTGGAAGGTCGCCAGCCCCAGGCCCTGCCCGGGGCTGGCCAGACACCAGAGAAGGTCCAGCTCTCTGCTGAAATCCAGGGACAGGGTTGGGCAGAGCTACCCACCTGGAGAGCTTGGCCCAGGCTGTCCCCACTGGAATTCACAGTTTAGCCTTAGTTATAGCATGTCCTGAGCTGAAGGTGGGAGGCTAGGAGCATGGAAGCACAGCCCCTGAGGAAGGGGGCCCGCCCCCCAACCCCCAATGCCAAGGGCAGAGTCCTGGAACCTCCACCAGAGGACCTGATTCCTATATGAACGTGTGAACCTAGGGCTCAGTTTTCTCCTTCATTCTCCCGTCTCCCTCACCCCACCCCCTCTCATAACCAACAGGGGGACTTGGACAATGTACCCCTCAGCCTGGGCTTCCAGGGCAGAGCCAGCTCATGCCATCTCCTTGAACCCATGCCACCATGTCCCTGGACTCTTATCCCATGCCCAAGAGCCTCAGGCTGGGACGCCCCACCCCCCACCCATCCCTTTCCTGCCCCTCCCTTTCCCACCCACCCCGGGCATGTAGTTTTGGTATTTTCATACAGATGCAGTCGGAAGTAGCAGTACATGAAATAAGCCTAAGATAAAAATAGAGCCCTTTCCGTCCTTATGTCCGGAAAGCAAACATCCTTCAATAAACATGCAAGGAGGCTGCCTTAGTGGAACCCAGGGCTGGTGAGGGCCACAGAGGGCAGCCTGGGCCTGCAGGAACACTAACCAGCCCTGCAGTGGCAGGAGGGAGGATGAGGGGCCAGTTTGAGTATAGGGAGCTTGAAGGTCCAGAAATGGGATCCCAGCTCCCCTTTCCCAACCCCTCTCTGGCCCACAGGCTCTTGGGCCAGAAGCATCACTGAATTTGGGCCGTTTGAGGAAGAAGTTTTGAAAAATTATCTCCAAAGTCTTGGGCCATCAATGCCCCAGCTTCATAGCCAGTGCCTTCATTCTCCAGCCCTCACCACCCAGCAGCTGCCTGTGGCTGGTGTCCCCTGTCAAGCTATGCGGTCCCCCTGGAACCTTGGTGGGCAAGGAGCTCCCAGCCAGGTGGCTCTGGGTGTGAGACTTTTCTAGTGCCCCTGGACTGCAGAAGCCTACAACATGCCCAGCCCCAGGAGGCCCTAATGAACCAATAGGCCAAGAATGAGTGTTGGCAGGACCCCCAGCCAGAGGGAGGCCAAAAGGGCATGGGCACAGCCCAGCAGATGCTGGGCCTTGGCCTCGTCCTCAGACAGCAGCTGCCAGTGCTGGGCCTTGCGGACGTAGGAGCCCTCCTGGGCCTCGCAGTAGTAGTGACCATAGTGACCATCCGTGAGGTTCTCGATAAACAGGATGCAGTTGGGACTCTGGTGGCCAGGCTCGCAGCTCTGCTCCACCTTCTCTCCGTGGCGCCACCAGTAGGTGGCATGGCGGGACTCCATGGGGCAGCTCAGGTAGTAGCGAGAGTTCCGGGCTAAGGAGACCTTCTGAGGTGGGGCCTCATCTGGGAGGGATGGATACGCAACTGTGAGGAGGGGCTGAGAGCTCCCAGGACAGGCTTTGTCCTCCCCGAGGCCTCTAAGGTCAAAGCTTCTAAATGAACACAAGAATCTTAAGCACCCACTCTCCTTATTCTCCCCTGCCTCCCTCACCCCACCCTTCTTATACCACCCCCACACCAAGGACTATATGGGGCCCCCCAGGAATAGGCCAGCTTTCCCTCAGACAGAGAAATCGAGGCAAGGCTGTACCACCCTCATTGGACTGGGGTCCTAGGCAGGGCTAAATCAGGTACCTGGCTTTGGGTTGGGGCACTCTTTGTGTGGCTCATCTGGATTAATAGACTGCAGCACTGACCTGGAGTTGGGAAGAGAGAGGCTAAATAGACAGGAGGTTACACCTTGCCCTTTCCTGTCCTCATCCCCCACCCAGTATCTGCCACAGTGCCTACCAAGAGGAGGGTCCGGCCAGAATGGCTCGGTACCCAGCACTGATGCCTCCTGCAGCCTGTTTTCACCATCCCCACCCATGTTTCTATCTTCTCCCAGGGAGAAGGGGTCCCAGCCAACATACCTTTGGGAGCTAAAGATGGAGACACAGTGGCCCTGGTCCCAGCCACAGTATGGGTCTCGGGCCATGAGGCAGCCATGGCAGCCCCCACCATAGATGTCACACAGGTCCAGGGGCACCTGGCTCACCTCCCATTGTGAGCTTACATACAGTTTCCGCTGGAATGAGAGACTAAGTCAGACCAGGGCCCCCACCTCCAACACTGAGTTTTAAACTCCCAGGCCATGGCCGTCTACCCTACAGCCCAGAAGCTCTGAGAAGGACATGTGAATTACATGCAAAAGAGCTCTGTCCTTAGCTGGCCATCACAGGGTGGCCTCATAGGGCAGGGCAGGGAGTGTGGAGGCTCACCCGGTCAGGGTCCAGTGACATGGCCTGGATGGCTGCCGCACGGCGGAAGGGCTGGATCTCCATGATGTTGAAGACGAGGCTGCGTTCCCACTCCTCTGACTTCACCACCTTGTGGATGGTGCCTCTGTCTGTGGGTGGTGGGCAGAGGGTTAACAGATGGGCATCCCACCTCAGAGACAAGCAGCCTCCCTCTACATAGGACCAACCAGAGAAGACACAGGTGGGGAGGCCTGGGAAGTCATGGCTCAGGCAAGGGTCACTAGACTAAGTAAGGTGAGTGTGAGGGACTTGGGAGTCAGAGGGCAGCCCAGGAAGTTTCCAAGGCTGGCCCAGAGCTCCGGGAGGACCTGGGCAAGCTGGAGCATGAAGAACAGAACCAGCAGTCCTGCACACCCAATTAAAATGCTGACCCTTCATTACTTCTCTCCTCCACATCTCTGCTTGTGGGTTATTATCTTCCCCACTTCCCAGATAAGGCAATGAGGCTCAGAAAGTCTAAGCAACTTGATCACACAGCTGTGACTACAACACAGAGATATCAGAATCTCACCCCTCAGCTTTTTCTATAACTGCCCTGCCTCCTGGACAACTTAAGGATGTGTTTTTCTTTAAATACACCTTTTTATTTTGAAGTAATTTCAGATTTACATAAAAAATGCAAAGATAGCACAGAGATTTGCTATATACCATCCACCCAATTTCCCTTAATGCTACCATCTTATATAACTACTAGAGGCCTGGTGCACAGATTTCATGCATGGTAGGGAGGAAAGCTGGGGGATGGGAGTACCTGTCCCTCAGCCCCGCTTGCACCCTGTCCAATCTGGAATCCCTCTCACAATCCGGGATCGCTGGCTCCTAACCACTTACCTGCCTGCCTCTAACTGCCTCTGCCTGCTGCCCTGGTGCCCCTAACTGCTTCCCTGCCAGCCTGGTCACCCCTAACTGCCCTCCCCTGCAGGCCTGATTGTTCCTAATTGCCTCTGTCTTGGCTCCTGCCACCATGGCTTTGTCTAGAAGGACATTTGGACTAATTAGCACATTACCATTTTATTAGTATAGACTAGAGGCCTGGGCATTTCATACACAGGTGGGGTTCAGCTGGCCCACCCTGATTGGGGGCCCATTGGGCCGGACTGGCAGCGGGGAGGGGCCATGGCGGTTGGCTGGCCTGCCATGCCCCTGATCAGGGTTTGGGGCCCAATTGGGGCCCAAATCAGGCTGGTTGGCTGCCTCAGTGTGCGTCATAGCCATTGGTTGTACCACCGTTCCAATCACTGGGCATATATATATATATATATATATATATATATATATATATGGCACATTCATCACAACTGTATAGTATTATTAACTCAGCTACAGATTTTACTGGGATTTAATGTTTTTGTTTTGTTTCAGGATCCAATCCAGGACTCTACATTGTATTTAGTCTTATGAAATTTTTATAAAATCTAAAAAGAATCTTAGATTCTGGACAGGGATTCCAAGGTCACATAATAGCTGCCTGCCTCCAAGGTCAGTGCTCTATTCGTTCACAACTGTTGGGGTCTAATGGGCATCCTGACCCCTGGATCCTTCCAATCCCACATCACCTCAGTCCAGTTTCTAGAACAGCCTCCCTTCCTCTCGATTCCCCAGGGCATCGCTTGTTCCAAAACAACAGTCAGACACAAAGATGGTTGCTTGCCTAAGACATGTCTTTTAGTTCTGTGATGCCTCTTGTATGATCTGGGATGTGGCCCAATGCTTCTTTGGCCTGACAAGCTCCCAGCCCACTCACAGCCCTTCACTTACTTCCACAACAGCCCAGTGAGAGCCTCCCATAGTTTCTCCCAGCTGTGAGAGCCTCTTGTGCCCTTCAGAGGGCTCAGAAAGCTCTATTTCTTATCTGGCTCCGATTCTTCCTGCTAAAGGTTCCAAATGGCACCTCTCCTACAGCCCTCAGGGAGAACCAAGATAAGTACCCTCATCATTCAAGTGTGCTCACCTCCCAAGTCTGCAAGAAAAGAGTCCACGGTTCCCTTGGCCCAGGCCCCACCCTCCTGTCCTTGGTTCCTGTTCCTAGTCCCCCATTGTGTGACCTCTCCTCTGCTGTACCCCAGTGCCTTGTTTGACTGCAGCAGCTAGGTCAGCCACTACTGGAGCAGAGCAAGGACAAGAGCCCATCGGTACAGCCAAGATGAATGGAGGAACAAAGAGGTGAGATCTCAGGACCTGGAAACCAGACCCTGCCCCATGGGAACTGATGTGGCCACTGTGGCCCTGAGAAGATCCCAAGATGAAGCAACAGCAGAAATCACACAGGAGGGGTCGGGCTGAGCCCTGGAGCCCAGGTGCTAGCATCTTGGGGAAACACTGCCCTTTTTGATGGCATCACTGCCCACCTGGTCTCAAAGAAATGCTGTAGCCTCTCTGCACTGATCTCCATGGTCACTCTCAGGAGTCCCCTTTGCCCACAACTGGGACCAGGAAGCTGCCATAAACCTGCTCAGGGCTGGCTCTTCCATGGCCAGGGGCTTCTTGGGATGCAGGTGTATCTCCCAGGGCATTCCACCCAGCTCAGGGCTCAGCCAGACACTGCTCTCCTTGGGAAGAGGAGGAGCCTCTGCAAGACTGCAAAGGCTCTGCTTCCTGGAAGCCCTTCCTCATGTCTCATTAAATACTGTGCATCCCACATCAAATGTTTCCTCTCACCTGCATAATCCCAAAGACAGGGAACAGGGTTAGATTTCCTCATTCTGTCTAGTAGGTGCCCACAGGATACCCAGTGACCAGATCGTTCCTCCTGGCTTTCCACATCTCTTCCTCCCAGCTTCATGAATCAGATATCAGAACCAAACCTGCACCTGGCTTTGCTCAGACTGGCCACCTTTCTGCCTTGGAATCCTGGAACCTGCTCTCCTCCCACCCAAGGATGCCTTCCCCTCTTCGCCTCTGCCCCCACCTCCTCTAGAAAGCCCTTTCTGCCTGATTCTTCCACAGCCAAACATACTAACTCCTGACAGCTCTCAGTCATTCAATTCTTCCTTCCAGGTATAACGATCCAACCACATGTTAATTACGTTATTATTTATACTTTTCACACCCACTTTCACAAGGCCGACGAGGGGTCATGGGGTAGTCTCTCACCTGTAGTTAGGTAAAGCACATGAAAGGTCTCCCCGTGGCTGGTGTGCATGCGGTGGACAACTACTTTCTGGTAGTGGTACTTAGAGTGAAACAGTGGTGTCTTCAGAGGCCCCATGGGCTCCACCCTCTGTGCTACTTCAGGGTGACTGTCGGCCACCTGGAAGGTCTCCGTGGGTATCGGCTTCCGGCCTGGGAGGCACTGGACAAGAAGAGTGGGTCCAGGTCAGTGGGTGGCTGGGAAGTGGGGTGGGGCCTGGGTCATGGCAGATGTCAGTGCTCACCTTGCCAGGCCGAGGGGTGGGAAGGCCTGTGTGGTAGCCCTTGAGTGAGGAAGTACGGAAGACCTTGTCAATGTCACCAAGGGAATATACACAAACAGCTGAGTAGTTCCTGGAGGGACACAGAGACTACCTCAGTGAGGGGCCCAGTACTAACCCACCTTCATTCACTCAGGCCAGCTCAGCACCATATAGGGCACAACTAGAGCATTCTAACCAAGCTCCCCAGCCTATGAGCTCCATGAAGACAGGGACTACCCTAGGGGCCAAGACCAGTGCCTAAGAGTCATCAGCCACCACTGAAGGCAGGAAGGAGAAAGAGAAATTCCACCTAATTCTTTCTGCTGCGATCTAAAACCACAACCTGACGGGACCGCAGGACTCAGGGGCCAGCGCCAGAGCAGTAGGGTCCCCGTGTGCATCCCGCGGGCAGCTCCCCTGCCTCTCTGGACACAGCTGCAGGATGCTGACGCCCAAGGCCAGACCACACGCCCTCCCGGCCAGCTGGGTCCACCCACATGGGAGCCACAGAGCAGGGTGTTGGCTTCCCTACCCTGTCCCAACTCCTCCCACAACCAACACGTTTGCCTGCCTTATTTTCAATCAATGGGAGTGGTTAAGAGATGTGAATTACCAGGTGCAGGCAGTGTCTGAATGGTGTGAGAGCACCCTATGAAGCCTCAGCAGCCTTTTTCAAGGGCCCACCACCCACTCTGGGCACGCCATGAACACACAGGCACTGCCATGAACATGTATACAGTACATGCATGTACACTAGTTGTACAAACTCAGAAACATACCAGCACAAAAATCTCTCCAAACGCTGACTGTGTCCACTCCAGGCCCAGCAACAACCCTGGCATCCCTGCTCATCATCAGCCATCCCCTCAGGTGGGCCCAAGCCCTCTAATCCCTACTAGACACGTAACTAATGCCAGACTCAGCCCCAGGACAAGGGTCACTCACCAGGGGTTGGAGAAAACACCATAGACCCTAGTGTCCCTCCACTGGCCATTAGGGTCAGGGAGTAGGAAGACATCCTGTAGCCTGTTGAAGTTCTTGTTGGTGAGGGGGTCGCTGCACACCAGCATGGCCTTCAGGAAGGTATTCCACTTGGAGACTGACAGTGAACTCTCACCACCCTGGTCCCCCTGAAAGGGTGGAGGGAAAAGGAGGCCCCTCAGTACCCCCTGGGCACCTGAAGTCAGGAATGTCAGCACAAGACTTCAGAGGAGGAAGGTAGGCTCTGAAAGGGGCAGGGACCTGCCAGGGGACCACGCAGAGGTGCCCTGTGACTCAGGCCAGGTTCCTGAGCCAGGCTTCAGCTAGAAGGCCTGGCTGACTGGGCCATCAGTGGGGACCTGCAGGGTGAGGGTGTTAGGTCTGTCCCTACAGAGCAGATGGACTCAGACACATTTGTCCATTCTCACACATGCACACTCATACAGAGATGACACACCACACACAGGTGACACACTCGAATATCCCAGCACCTTCACACTGTTGAAACGTACATGTAAACACACTTTCATACCCCCACTCCCACTCATACACACTCTTAGATGACTACACTCACTTGCACACTGCCACACATGCACATGAGCTCAACCATCTTTACCTACTCACAGATGCACAGACACTCTTGTGCATATACATCCCACACGCAGACTTATACATTTCACACACTCCTTCAGACAAACAGGCACTCACACACTCATACCTATTCACGCATAGACACACACTCTTGCCCACTGAGCCACCCACTCACCCTGCATAGCTGGGCCACGCGGGACACATTGAGAGGAGCCTCAGGATTTTTGTCAGGGTTGTCTTCCCGGAAGAAGTAGTAGATTTTGTCATCATAGGCCTGGTCTTGGTGCACGATGGTGGCCTTAATGAACTGTGGATCTACCAGTGATACATGTGAATTGGTGTCAGGGGGAACCTGCTCGGGAGACCCATTCCAACCCTGCATCACACCCCCCAACTCTACACAAACAAACCTGGAGCAAATCAGACCTGGAATAAAACTCAGAACATCAGGCCCAATACCCCAAGGGTCTGAGACTCAGCACCTCCATCCCACATCTGTTCTGCTCTCCCCTTACAAAGATGTCATCAGCCCAGGAGCAATGACTTCATGCCTGGGGACTAGGAAGGTCCCTGGGCCTTTATGTCACTTCTGCCTAATTGGCAGAGCCCTAATGAGGAGGGAAGGAGAGTTGCCCCCACATGAGCTCAGCAGAGGGATATACTATGGCTCCCAGGGACCCCACTCTGGGTCTGCGGCTCCTCTGTTTTGTTACCACAGTGTGTAGGGCCCATCTGCCTCTGCTGTTCCTCTGCTCCCTGCCAGGCCAACATCCTCAGCTCTGGCTATTCAGGCCTGTCCTAAACTCCCACTTTCCTGACTGGCCTGCGGCCCCAGTCGCCCTTGGGGAGCCCCCGCAAGGGACATGCGGATCCCATGAGCCGCCGTGGGCCTTCACATCCTGGTCTACCCCAGCCCAGCTGGAGTCTGACTCACTCTGCATGACGGTGTCACTGGTGTACAGCTCAATCTCGCCCTGGATGCGGCGGAACCGAGGGATCTTCCCATTGTATTCCTGCTTCCGGATTGTAGAGTACACCTCATCCCCTGGTCATGGTGGAAGGGGTGTGGGTAAGGGAAGACAGTTCTTAGAAGTCCCTCCCCTGGGCATGGGCACTGATTTGATCAGCCTCCCACAGGCAAGGGCAGCAGTCCTACCATCAAACAGAACCAGGGAGTTCTCATCCGGGCTGAAGGGGGCATAACCTCTCCTCTCACCAAGTGACTCCACAGTGCCATTCACCTGGAGGAGACAAAGGGGTTAGACAGCCACACAATCCCATGGCTACTGCTTCCCATGGGTGCCAGCTTCCCCTCCTCCCAAGCATTCTATACAAGGTGAGCCAGCCTCTGAGTCTCCCTCCTCCTTCCCACTTTGGGAGGCAGAAGCCCACCCATGCAAGGGCAAGCTGACAAGGCATATGGGTAAGGGCCTTCTCACCAGGCTCCAGCAGCTGGGGTGCCGGGCATTGGTTCCGCAGGCCAGCAACCCCTCACCCTGTCTCTCCAGGAGTGTTATGTAGTTCTCACAGTCCTGCCAAGAAGGGGAAGAAGAGAGGTAGGTCAGATGCCTTGACAGGACTCAAACCAGAACCCTTCGTTTTGGAGAAGACAGAATCAGAAGGCTGAGCATGGAGGCAGTCTCCAAGGAGAGCCGAGAGGGGATGCAGCTGATCCCAACTCCCCTGAGAGCAGAGGAAGAACACAGGGACCTTGGAGAAGGACTGTGTCTCCCATTCAGACTGGGAACCCTAAGACAGGGCTGCCTCTTTCCTCTCAGACTGGGGCACCCAAGGCAGGGTTGTGCCTCCTTCCTCAGACTCCCAGGGACTCTCATCCCTTTTCCAAGGCGCCAGCCTCCCCTCTACACTCCCTCTCCTCCACTCACCTGCTTGCCCAGGCAGGATCCCTTGGTGGAGCCAATGTTCACCTGGGGGAGAGGTGAGGAAGCATTAGTCTACCCTGGAGGGGTCAGTTGCCCTGCAAACACTGTCCATGTGCCCTCAGGACAAGTTCATTTTATAGCATAGGTGAGCAACTAGGACTCTGACAGGGTGTGATTCACCAAGGTCACACAGGCTGCTCTGCCCGATACTGAGCCAAGCCCAGAGCGCCAGTCGAGGGATCTCAGAAGCCAGGGGCGATGGGGTTGTGGAGCTCAGCTTCCAGCCCAGGACTCCCCCATCAGTGCAGCCCACCTGACCAGGTGGGTAAGCTCTGGGCTTTTCTCCACACTGACCAACACCCACTCCCACCTGGACTACCTTCAGGGAGCCTCCCCCAGGGACCGTTTATGGGATAAAACGGAAGGTGGACCAGTTTAGGAGAAGATGCCAGCTCCCAACCCCTAATTCCCTGAGCCCCCTCACCAAAGCCAGAGGGAAATAAGGGGAGAATTGGGGGAAAGGGGCAGTAAGGGCCCCAGGCTCACCGTGTGTACAGAGGCGTTCTTGCCCTCAGGGAAGTTGAAGAGGTAGACCTTGCCACGTCCACCCACCCACACAGAATCGCTGCCTGGCTCATGGAAAAGCACGGTGTGTGGCTCAGCTGAGCCAAAATCCACCCGGTCCTTCCCTGTGCGGCCTGAGGAGGAGATAATTGGCAAAAACTTGAGGCTGAGCCACGGGCAGGAGACTCTATCATCCCTCTCAGGCACCCGGCACCTCCCTGGCAACTAGTGCTTGAGTCTGGGCTGGGGCAGCACCAGGACTCGGAGTCACAAGTGGAAGAAGTGAGGGGTACCTTGGTAGGGTCCTCACCCCAAAGCCATGGCCCCTACCCTATAATATGTGACCTCAGAGTAGGGACCCCTAGGAGAGCAGGCTTCCTCCCCCACCACTGCCCACCCACACACTTGGCTATTTCCAACAGGCTGGACTTAGGCAAGAGGGACCAGGACCTCCGTGGCTCTGCAACCCACAACACAGCAAGCAGCCATCTCCACCCCCTGCAGGTAGCAGGGCTCTAAGCACCCCACTTAGAGTCCAGGTTCCCTAGAATCACTTTGTTCAGCACCCTATCCCCTCCTTCAAGAAGCCTTCTCCAACTCTTCCTGGCCCAGCCCAGGCCTTCAGTGAATAGGTCAGCTCACATCAGAGATGGAAATAAATCTAAATGTCCATTCCCTCCCATTTCACAATGAAAAAACAGGGGCCCAGAGCAGGTATAGCACAAGGTTGTAAAGTCAGTAGCAGTCCCTTAACGAAAGCCAAGCTCCTGCCCACAGCTAGACGCTGGCCTGGCCCACTCTGGCCTGGTTTCATGGAGGTGCCAGCTCACCCCAGGGGTCAAGTTCCACCCTCCCTCCCCAGCAACTCTGGGATAAGATGTCCTTCACAGAGCACAGCCTGGGCCTTTAAACAGGAGGGCTGATCTGGGCAATTTTGCCCAAAAAGGAAACTCTGCAGATACTGCCTCGGGGGAGATGTCTCATCTCCAGCGACATTGCTGAGATTGTCCTGGTTGCAGAACTAAATTCCAGGGTTTGGACAGCTCACATCTTCCCACCTCCGACCACCCTGAGGCCTCATGCCAGAATGGGGCCTGACCACTGTATATTCAGCTACAGCAAACTCCCGGGATAGCCAGCTTAGCAGTGATACGCAAGGAAGATACACTCCAGCCCGGACAGAAAAGAACTTCCCTTTTCTTCTTGCTGCCATTTGAGCCATTCCAACTGATTCTGCATTCAACGGGGCAAGGAGTGCAACACTCCTGTATTCCTGAAGATGCATGCCTGTGTGGCCAAGTCACTCTGGAGGTGGGGTAACACACTCTCCACCTCAGCTGTAGCCTGGCTCACTGTGGAGATGGAAACTGAGGGCTCCTTGAAGACACGCCAGCCCAATGTCACACTAGGCGGCAGGACAGACTGCCTAGTCCATCACTGAGTATTGGTTGTCAGGAGCGTTTAGGAAGTGCAGCATTGTGAGCCACAGAGAAGTGCTGAACTCACTGCCTCTGGTTCACCTGGCTTTCCTTGGGCACTCCACAAACAGCCCAAGCAGCCTCCCTGAACTGTGAGGCCCACTCCCCATCAGTCCCAGCTATGCAGGGCTCCTTCCCAGCTGAGATAAAATTAGAGTGCTGGGGTCAGCAGCCAGAAGATACAAGGCCTTCCTGACTCAGCTCCCACAGCTCCCCTTGCACCTGCAGCCTGAGCAGCAGCCACCATCCCACAGCCCAGAGCCCAGAGCTCAGCCTGGGATCCAGACAGTCAGCAGCCCCAGCTCCCCTCCCACATCCCCAGCCAGCCAGGGGCCAGGGGCCAGGGTCCCGGGGCCAGGGGCCAGGAGAAGCTGTGTCTGCATCTAGAGATGTTGGACTGGGACAGAAGCTCTGAACCCCTCACCCCAAGGCTAAAGGGGAAGAGCCCCAACCCTTGGGCCATACTGGCCATCTCTACCAGTCACCTCAGCTTGCACCAGCAACAAGGCCACAATCAAGACACAGCTCTCACCCCTGGAAAGAAGCACCAGAGGAGGCCCTGAAGGAGCCCTTGTCTGGGCGTCTGAAGTCCTGCCGGGGAAGTGGAGTCTGATGGGAAAGGCAGTAGCCTGGTCCTGAAGAGCAAGGTCTGCAGGGAAACTGGCCCTAACCTGGAAATCAGTTGCGGGGAGTCACCACATCAAAGCAAGCCCCCATAATGCTCAAGCAAAACTGTCTAGGTGCTGCTCACAAAGAATTTCTGAGGACACAGAGGGCGGGTGAGAGCTGCTGCAGCTCCATGTGAGGGACTGCAGCATTGGGGCCAGGGTAATCCTGCACAGAATTGCAAGCCTGAGCCCTATTCCTCTCAAACCTGGCTGCAGGCCCTGGGGTGCAGGGAAGGCAGAGATTATTGGCCCCATTTTGCAGAATAACAAACAGGAGCCCAGGAACATTGCCTCCACTGACCCCCAGGCTCCTGCCTCACTGCTCTGCGCCTAGTGGTATGCTGGAGGGGATGGCACCAATCCGGCACCAGAACCTGGACTTGGCCCATTCTCCACCCCAGCCCCACACCTGCTCCTGCACAGCCCAAAGCCCTCTAAGGGTCTGATTGTGCTGGGGAAGTGTCTGAGCTCGATGAATACATGAAAGGACAAGGACGCTTTGTTCAGGTTGGCAGGAGCGGGGGCTGGGGGCTCAGGGGCAGTAGGGCTGCCTGGAAGTGAAGGCAGCACCAGGCCTTTGGGGCCAGGATCCACAGCCCCATGGCACCAACATGGGCCAGGGAGGGGTCAGCCTTCAATGCTCTGCCCATGCAGAGCAAGGCTGGGACTGCCCCTAAAAAGGCCCAGCCAAGGGGAACAATTGTCACATCCTTAAACACGTTTTTTTTTTGCTTCTTTATGAAACCCAAGAGATGAGGAAGGCAGATTCAAGCTAGATGGATCAAGAACAGGCAGAAAAAGAATTGACTTTGGCAGGGGAAACAGGCCAGGCAAAGCAGGGAAGCTGACTGCATGGTGAGTACAGAGAACTAACCAGAGAAGATCAGGAAGGCAGGCTAAGGACCTGTGTGATGGGAAGAGAAGGTGCTGCGGCCCCCCAATGATATACCAACCCACCGCCCAGCAGTCTCTGGTGCTTTCCCTCCTTCCTAGGAGCAGGGTCAGTGTCCCAAAAGCCACCCCTCTTCTAGCACCCCACCTCTGTGCTCCCTTGCCTGCACAGCCCCCTCTGCTTCCCATCCTGGATATCTAAAAGGAGCACCGTCTGGCACCACCGTGTCTCGCCCCTCACTCTCCAGCCTGATGCATTAGTGGCTGACTAAGTGGTAGCTAAAAGCTCCCAGAATAACCAGGAGTTCAGGCAAGGGAGGGGGGCTAGGGGAACACAGGGTGGGCATAGCCCCAGAGGCAGCCTGGTACAAGACCCCCTCCTCCAACCCTATGTGATTCCAACCCTTACTTCTTCTGGATCAAGGAAGAGCATACTCAGGCTGCCCCATACTCAGCATGTCTCCATGGGCCTCCTTGAGACCCCACCTCCTCACAGTGTCAGGACAGGCAAGGTCCAGGCCCAGCCCAGACCAAAACAAGGGTCAAGAAGATGGCTGGGTGTGGGAGGCAATCTCCCTCAGCCATAGCCCCCCAAGTTGGGTTGTCCCTAAAGCCTGATCCTGTGGAAACTAGTCAGAGCTGATTCCTCTCATGCTTGCCACCTTCCCACCACTGTCCCAGCAGCCAGTTGGCTGGGGTAAGTCTGGACTTCTGTAAAGCAGGCCTGCCGAGTGGAACACCATTCCTTCTCTCATATTCTCTGGGTGCTGTCCCCATTTCCTCTTTGCTTGTGAGAGGATAGCCCAAGGGGAGGGCAAAGAGCTGGAATGGGAAGGGGGTATTGTTGTCCCTGAAGGGAGCAACAAGGGACAGTCCCCACAGTCTGGTTTGGGCAGGGACAGCCTTTCAACCTGACCCATTGACCCAACAGGTCTTGAATGCTAAACTCAAGGAGTCCTTTGAAAGTGGGTATTGAGGTTGACTTTGAGAATGGTAGGAATTCAGACACCCAGCAAAAACCAGGCCAACCTCCAACTGGGACCCAACAACAGGTGGCAGGAGCTACGCCCCACCCCCACCCACTTCACACCCTTGCCTAACACACAGCTGGCAGAGAGAAGAGGAAAGGCCCACCTGGAGTCCAGGAATTAGCTGGCAGCCTCTCCACCCTTTGAAACCCACAAGGTGGAAGGGAGGAAATCGGAACAGTCATTGGGCTGAGGGGACATAGAGACCAGAGAGGCTGTATCAATGGCCCAAGGCACATAGCAAAGGAACTAGGGGCAGGGCAAGGTCACAGCCCAGGGTTTCTGGTACCCAGCACACAACTTAGTCCTCTGGAACCACATCCTGAACTTTCTTGAGAGCCTCAGGATTTACAAAAAGCTGTATGTCATCTTTTCTCCACTTCCCTGAGTCATCTCCTGCTCTCCACCCTCTCCGCCCTATTCGTTGAGAAGGCACTAATCTGATAACTGACAGGAATTACCCACACACCTGCCTTTCAGGTGGGGTCCTAATCTCCAACAACTTTTAGCAACCAAAGCCTTAAACTCCAATAAGTGACAGAGGTAGAATGTAGCACTGGGTCAGAGCAGTGGAGGGAAACTATTCCACTGGGTGAATGGAGTTAAAAGGGGCAAATGTTGCATTGGTTTTGTCTCTCCTGATATGGCCCAGGATGAGGGTGTGAGAAGCTACTCTTCATAACCAGAAGCCCCGTTTCCAGGGTGGCACTGACTCATGCTAAGGAGGAGCTATGGTTGTTACTGGGGTGCTGGTAACATTCAGTATTTGGCAGGACAAGGTTCCAGCCAGCTGTCTGGCAGGGGCAGAGCCAAGCACTAGACAGGTAGCAGGCTCTTGATAAGGTTCTTAGTCATGGGAAGTGAGAGGTCTACCGCTCTTTATCAGCCAGGGAACAGGGCTGGGCTAAGGGGTGTTTCCTCTGCCCACCAAGGTCAGCTGTGGGTGGGAGGGGCGCATATATGAGTTAACTCAGCCCTGATTCCAAGAAGCCATGTTCTTCCTTTGGCAGCCAGGCGACTGGTTGGGTATGACCATGACCAGGGGCCGGACCTTCCTGACTTTACTTTC